GCACATTTTCCGACTTGTCCTGCCCAGCAGGACTTCCATCACTTCCCTGTTGCCTCAGCCAGGGCCAGGGCCAGACCTGCTTTTCCTGGTCTGTCTCTGTGCCATTTTCCTAAATCAAAAAAGGGCCCCAGGGAAGAGATAAGGAATGCTTTCCCTTCCCAATCCAAAGCTGCATTTGGGTGGGGAAAAGAGCCAATAGCCTTTGTAATCTCCATCTTCTCTGCCCTGATTGACTAGTCCTAATGGTGGGTGAGTGGATGTGGAGGGTGGAAAGCTGTCAGGAACATATTTTCCCCTGTTCCATAAATCTGTAGCTGCCTTCAGGAGGGAGAGGAAGGACTTTGCTCTCCATCCAAGAGGTTGTTCTTGGGAGGGTCTGCTATGCCACCCATTGTTCGGGTGGAAGCCAGATTTTGCCCTTCCTACATTACATATTGTTTCCAAATGCAAACCTCCCACTGCCCCAAAATAATGTGGTTTGTAAAGCCCAGTCGGGCAACACATATATACAGAATTAATGTGTAGATGGAGGGGGGCTTGTGGTATGCAATGGCCCTGCCTCCTGCCTCTGTATGTGTTTGATGACTTCTGAGCAGAAACTGAGTGTTCAAGCTGAATGCCCATAAAGTTTGTCCTGTGTGATCTATAGCTTATAATTTAGAAGCCAGTCAAGTCTGTTTAGGGGCCATGATATGCAGAGTGGCCTTTCCCATCCCAGTGCTCCTTAGAAATTTCGAATGAACACCCTTTGGTCCCTGCAGCATGGCTGAGAGTTGCAGTCCAAAGCATCTGGAGAACATCAAGTCAGACATGGCAAGTGTAAAGATTGTGGGTAGGTTCACCTTTCCTTCACATGTTCATTCTGTGCAGGAGCATTGCCTCGGTAAGATTCATGGTGCTGGCAGCATTCCAGCCATTGCACTTATGCTAATGCAAGATTGTTAGAGAGCTTATAGAAAGTGCAGGCAGCCCCCTTGACTTTTTTCCCATAGCTGAGGACAGGAACAAATAGATTGAATATTTCCTGTAGGCAGATGTTCCTATACAACTTCTGGAGGCTTGCTGATCACAAATCTACAAGCGGCAATCACAATCTGCTTTTCAGGGACATCCAGAAAAGCAAAATGTAACATAGTGGTGAACCATAATTGAGGTTGCAATTCTACAAACATTCAGCCGAGAGGAAGCCCTCTTGAACATCACAGAACCTACTTCTGAGTCTATATGTTTAGGATGATGGTGCTGTTTACTTACAGTAAGGATGCCACAGCTGGCTGAGGGATGCTCTTTTTTATCTAAACACGCATCAGATTGTGCCAAAGGTACTTGTAGTACCCTGATGTTACAGGGCACACAACTATTTAAAAGCTTAAAAATATCATTACATTGAGTAAAATGCCAGCAAGTTAAAATATCACGACAGCTGCAACCCTAAGCACACTTAATTGGAAGTAAATCCCTTTGAACTCAATAGCATTAGTAAGTGAGTAACTGTGGTTAAGATTGGGCTATACAAACCCACACAGAATATCCTGTCTCAGCCCCTCAAAAACAAGCCCAGACCGACAAAGCTTCCATGGTTTCCCAAATGAAGAGCTGAGGCTTGGTGTTTGTTTCATTTCCAAGGGAAAGTAATTCGAAGAGCAGGGAGACACTCGGAATGTCTTGCTGATCCTCTTGATACCTGGATTTGGGGGCAAAGGTCTGAAGGGTTTGTCTAGCAGTTTTTAAAAGGAAAGACGAGGCAGTCTCCGGGCAAATTGCACTATGTCTCACGCAGCCGAACCCTTTGCCCCTTGCAATACGATCACTGCATTTGTGGCTGCTGGAACAGGTAGTACTCTTGGTGCTTGGTGTGCCATTGTGTTGCTTGCATTTTGCTTTATCCACATGGTGATCAAATGTCTTCCGGAGGTCGGAAAGTCATGCTAGGAATCTTTTAATAAAACCCTGCCTTTGAATTGTGCCAGTGTAGATTTTGGCACACTGGGATAATGTGCTCCTGGTGAGTCAACCTTGTGGGGACCAGGCCACTGCGCTCAGTGTCAGCTGAAGCTCCAAAAGGCAGCCCCTTGGGGGAGAGCATTCCTGTAGTCTAGCCTTGAGGAAGTCAGTACTTGAGCATCCTTGCCACATCTCCATCTCAGTGGGTGGAGTTGGTGGAAATTTGGGACCATTTTGCTGAAAACCAAGCTATAAAGATTTCTTTTTCCTTTTGGCCATTCTCTCTGTTATGCATCTAGATTGTAGGGTCAGTTTCCTTGCCAATAAAAAACAAAACCAGTTTTCAAATAAGCTGTTAGCATATGAAATAATTATATGCAATTATATGTAGAAATGTTTAGCATAGTCTGCTATTTTTATAGTCAGGAAATGAAAGTGTAGGGTCCATGCAGTAGCTGTCCAGGTATCTGTCCAGGAGCTACCCCAGATATCTTGGCATTGTCCCAATGCAGTAACTTTCACTTGTGCCAGTTTTGTAAATCTTAGCATCAGTTCCATACTAAATGCTTAACATGGAGAACTTGGAGTGGAGCTTATTTGTTTTTGTAAAATTGTTGAGTCACACTAGGATCCAGGCAGGCTATGTCTGGAGTGAGATGTTTTCATATAAGCACCAAAATATTTTGCAACCAAATCATTAGTACATGTCTAGAACAGGATCTTTACCAGGAAGTGTTGGCTTTGAGAGGAAATAGGGGATGGAGCCAACTCTAAAATTAATGACAAAGAGGGTTTCAGTCTAAATAAACCTGCTAAGGTTTCTAATCCCTTTACGGTTGTTTCATTCTTTCCTTTGAAAAACTTTGATGGCTTGAAGGACTGCATGTGTTTTATTGGTAACTAACAATAAGATGGTAAAAAATGGTTGAACCTGGTTGCCAAACAATTCTTTTCTAGTAGCCAGATGGAAAGTCCAATTTGGCCATGACATAGTGTGTCATTTTAAGATCATATGCAGACCGGGAGGACCACATAACCAGAATAATGTTAGCAAAATGCGAGGCAACAGACAAGCCCTGGCACAATGGGGTGGTTTTAGATTGGTGCTGGAGAGGAAACAGGGCAACTGTGAACATTGGTTGCCACCTGAAGTCCAAAGAAAGATTTTCGTGCAGGTTCTGTGAGCCAGTATGGCTCTGCCTGAGAAACGGTTAAGTTATTCACTTGTTACCAACGTAGGAAGGTGCCCTATATCAGCTCGGGTCAGATGTCCATCAAATGCATTGGCAGCTCACCAAGATCTCTGGGAGAGCTCTTTCCTTCTGTCTAGATGAAATGCAGGATGCAAGGCATGGGATGGTGGAGAGTCCCACCATGCTTCATACCTTGCATTGGATGCACATAAACCTTCCATGTTCAGAGGCTTACTTGCATCAAGTGTGGAGGCCATTGGATCACACCCTAAGGTCTCCTTTACCATGTAGCTGGATTCATTCCACATTGACTTAATTAATTCACAAATGCAGTGCATGCTTCCTTTGCAAGTAATTTCCAATGCTCAGCAAATGAGATTTGCAGAAGGTAAGAGGCATGTTGCAAGCCTCTCTGACCCCCCCAAACCTTCTGACTGAACTCTCCCCGGTGTGGAACTCACATGCAATATACTTAGCCCATGGTACTTCCCATAGCTCCTTGGTATACGCTACCTCTCTAAGTGCTGGGCAGCGAAAAAGCCTTATCTCCAATCCGCAGCTGAGCAAGGGCAAGCCTTTCCTCCAATCCATTGTGGAGAAAAACCCTTTCTTAGCTTTTACTGGTGCTGGGCAGGGCCCTCTTCCACTGATCTTTGAGAAGGTGGAGCTGGGAACTGTGTGCATAAGCAAGTGTGAATGGATGGTGTGCATCTAGTGTGTGAGTGTATGTGCACACACAGGCACACACAAGTAATGTGAAAAGTTTGTGAGAACATGGGACAACCAACCTTCTTTGGCCTCTGCCCACGGTCATTAGTGTCGCGTGGCTCTCTTGAGATTTCTTGGATAGCAACCTGGCCCTCGGGCTGGAAGAAGTTCCCTGCACCTCGCGTAGGGAGCGCCCATTCACTGCAAACAGCTTCCAAGTTCCCCTTCACCTGTGCTCTGCTCCTGCAAAGGGAAGTGGCACAAGCACAGACGTCTTGGTATCTTTCCCGAAACATGCTGCTGCCTCACTCACAGCCCAGTCCTTTAGGCAGTTAGCCATGCCTACTCCCACATAGGACTGGGTGGGAAGCCCCTCAACAATGTAGAATCAACTATCTCCAGAGGTTTGCTGGTCATGTTCAATTTCGTATGGATTTTTATAGATTTTATAAATGTGCCTGAATCAAGACATATTTTCAAGATGGCTCACAACAGGAAAGCTCTAAACCAAACCAAACCAAACAGTAAAACAATAGCAATTAAATCAAAATCCAGGATGCAACTGGAAGTGGTCAAATCATCACAGTATTAACAATGCCCCTCTTTTTTGCCTATTGCTGACAAGATAGAATAAGTGCCAGGGCAGCTTTCCTTGGAAGAGAATCCCACAAATTCAGGCTGTGTGAAAGCATTTTCCCCAGCTGATTGTAGCAGTTGGTGTGAGTTGAGGAAAAGCCCCTGAAAGTTGCAGGATGGGCCATGTGGGATAAAATTCTGAGACACTTTTAGGATGGGAGTTGTTGTGCCATAGTGTTATATGTGATGTCTGCAGGTTCCTTTAAAAAGTTCTAAAAACTTCTCTGCCCACTATGAACAGCTGCAATGAGACTTTTTCTGCACACAGAGAAGGGAGAAGAACTGCTGGCCACTGAGGTAACACTAAACTTTGGCCACTAGCCTCATATTCTTAGAATGATGCCCTGCTCCTGAACGTAGCTGAACCCCTTCCCACACTTTGCAGAGTACATAGAACTGAAAGAGCAGTTTTTCAGCTTACATAAATGGAGCCACATGGAGGGGCCTCTTCTCAGTCAGCCAAATACATGAATCTTGCCTCTGATGGTGGAGGCACCTGGGGAAGGAATGGGGGCTTAAATGCAGACGGTAATGTGGAGATAGGCTGTCCTTCAGGTGCCTTGATCCTGTGCCATGTAGGCTGAAATCTTATATGTGCTGTTGGCAAATGAGCAAGTGCCTTTGAGAATCACTGTGCATTCTCCAGTGCTGCTTAGCCTGGAGAATTTTAGCCTATTGTACAGGGACTGTGAAATGAAAAACTGTTCTATGGTTTGGCTTAAGCTCAAGTCTCATGGCTTCCAGTGCTGTTTATATGTATTAGGACCTTGAAATTTCATCTAGGCTCTTGCCTATAAAGATTACCTTGTATAATGAACATTTGCTTAGAATCCAAGCCTTAGGCATTTCCCCAAGAAAATCAGTATTGGCTTTTGGCCCGTTAAGGAGCTGTGAAGAAGAAAGTGATGTGCACCAAAGGGGAAAATGTTGCCTTGCCATATTGACAGAATGCTGTCATGCTTCAGTGCAATGAAAGAAACAGTTTGTTCTTCCTGGGATAACACTTGCAAAAGCTGGAGGGCTTTTGTGAGTGTTCATGAAAATGTTTACCTAACCTAACATTGTAGGGCTGGAGCAAAAAGGCCCGTCTGTTGAGGGAACACTCATGCCCCATGGGTCTGAGGACTGGACTTGTGCTCCACCCTGGGCAGCTTTCCCATGAGCAGCCCTTGATATCATCTCATACGCAAGCCAGATCACCCCGTATAGAAGCCCATGGAGATGCTTTCACCGCACATGCATCTCTTCTGATGATCAGGCTGTTTGCATTCCTCCAAAAGCTTTCAGACAAGTAGCCCTTCATATCGGCCTTATACCAGCCAAATCAACCCTTATGCAAGCCAGTGGAATGGGACTTGGGTCATATGGGTTCTATTCTTTGCTCGGCCATGCAGCTCATTGGGTGACTTTGGACCAGTCACAGACTCTCAGCCCAACCTACCTTATGGGGCTTTTGAGAGGACAGATTGGAGAGTTGGAAGATTATGTGCACTACCTTGGGTTCCTTGCAAGGGGATAGAGTCAAGTTATCAATATAAGTTAATGATAATGATGACAGTAATAGTTATGATAATGATGATGATCACTTGTATCTTCGTGTCCATGTAAGAGTTCAGCTTTTACTCAGATTCTGTCCTGACCCCACCTCTCCCGCTGCCTGCTTATTTCTCCTGAGCGGTCCTCAAATTACACCTGTACACACTGATGGAGATGCCTTCTCCATTGTATTGCATGATTTGAAGGACTGCACCTAAGTTATGAAATGGGCCTAGACCTGAGGCAAAAGGTGGACTGTTTGCACTTTTAAGTTCTCTTTGCAATTTTTCAAACACAGGTGGTTTCATAATCATGCATTCTTGCTTCAAATTTGCACACCATCCCTATCTAGTCCTCTATTAACCTTAGGAATGAGCCTTGAACAGCATGATGTGTTGTGTAAATAATGGTGTTCAGAAGGGTTGCTAGTGCATCAAGATAGTTCTCTAACTATGCAGTTGTGTTTCCCTTTTCTGCCTCATTCACTGGAATAGGTAGAATTAGCCTAGCATGACACGCAGAGAAGGCTTTTGGCACAATTCTAAACATTTTTTACTCAAAAGCAAGCATTGCTAAGCTCAGTGGCATTTCTTGATGAGTATGCCTAGAATTGCAGTGTCCTGCAGTTCATGGGTATCGTCTGAGTATGCTTAAAATGATATTCATGCAGCTAGAAGTCCCTCTTTATTCAAGGCATGTTCTTCTCATTACAGCCAGGCATAGCTTGCCTAATTGCACCATTAGCTCAGAGGTGCAAAATGTTAAGACTCAGAGGCCAAATCCAGACCTTCTGGGTGTCCACAAGTATATATTAATTCATAGGTAACATTTCATATGCATCCATTTTTTAAATTCAACAATTCAGTTGATCAGTAGCACTTTGAAATTCACGTATCCAGATTAAAAATGGCAACTGTTAGAGATGTATGCCAGGAGAAGTTGGGAATGGAACCTGGGAATGCCACTCAGTTAGCTGCTTCCCTTTTTGCAGTTGGCTGTAGATGACTTGACAACAGTTTTTAATGCTCCTTCCCCCTTCAGTCTCTCACACTGCTTTGTTTTATTCAAGTTTTTAAGAGTGGAGCAGGACAAGGACAAAGAATGCAGCTTGGAATGCACAGGATCCTCTCAGAAGTCATTGTGTGCTTCAGATGGCCGGACTTTCCTGTCTCGGTGTGAATTCCTTCGGGCAAAATGCAAAGATCCTCAGCTAGAAATAGCCCACAAAGGCAACTGCAAAGGTAAAAAAATTCTCCAATACATTCTTCATTGTGGATACTTCAACCATACTTAAAATATTAATTCATTTAATTTAGAAATGAGAGTGAAAGAACTGTTCCATTCCTTTAAGCAACTGATGAACATTAAGATAAAAATCCCCAGTGTAATGTGACAAAACCAATCTGGGAATTTAGATATTTTACCAAGCTGCAGCTATGATCTCGCAGTCCAACTGACCATATCACAATACTTTGGCCATCTGTATAGACCTGCCAAGTGGTAAGAAGAGTTTTTTCACAAATTACAATCATGAATCACATAAGAACCTGCGAAAAAATGGTCTGCATATGCCAGTATATACCTAGACAGACAACCTCTATATAAATATGTCATGTGCTTAATGGCTTAACCATGAGATGCAAAACTTGTTTTGGGGACATAATTCTGGTGAGTCATGGTACATTTTGCGATCTGCTGCCATGGTTAATAGTGGCTCACTGATTTCACCCAGCAGCTTAATGTTGAACCACAGCCCTTTAGCACTGCTGAGACACGGTTGTACTGTTATCAACCAGAGTGAATAGAATTAAAACCAAGATTTCATATGAGATCATTCAGGCCTTTCCTCTTGCCAAATTCTTTCTAGAAATGTTTACTCACAAGTAAGGATCCTATTGAGAAAGATCTGTCTTAATGTTAAATGAATTCTGTTTGCAAAGAAAATAAAATAAGGACATCAGAAACTAAATTCTCTTCCTCTACCTTGTGCCAATAGAACTGAAAAGAACATGGGGACAATTAATTCAACACTAATCTCTCATCTATGATTAAGAGGAAGCAATAAAAAACAGGTTGGAATTACAAATAGGAAGTTTTAATTAAAGGCTCAGGGCCCTCCAAAAGTTTCAATAGTTCTTATCCACGTTGGACAGATTGGTCCTGCAAATATGTTAGATATTGTGTGTATATATATACTGGTCTGGAAAATCCTGAGAAGATTTAAAATACAACACTGGACTGCAATGATTTACAAGCAAGGCTATTTCATACTAAGGGAATGAACAAAGGAGAGGCATTTCATGGAAAAGGGCTTGAGTAGATGCTACTTAAATCTGAAGTACTGCTGTATCTTAGCTGGTTTTTCTTTTCAACCATGTGTCTGTTGGTGAAAGTGTTTGTAGTAGACTATTGAATCTATAAGTTCTCTTTTGGCATCTCTTTCCACATTTCTTGGTTAATTAGCTAACATCTTCCCTGTCAAATTCTTTGTATCTGACTAATCTGAAAGTCATTTCAGCTAATTGGTGCTAAACTACTCAGTTTTTTTGTATTCCCTGCTTAGGGGAAATGTTGATACATTTCCCAGCTTAAATGCAGGGTTTGATTCTCAGCACAATGCTTTCCTTCTTTATACATAAATACTGGTGATCACAAAGGTTTACCTTCACTCACACTGTATCCAAAAAAGAGACCACACAGAGACATCCTCTTGAAGACAAACATTCCTTATTTCTATTAGCTCCCAAAAAGCCTCTAAAGAGACACTCTGTCTCACCCCTATTCTATCATAAATGAAACATGCTGCTTGTTCTCTTAGTCTGATATGTAGTGCTCTGTTGTATTGTTTAATTGGCTGGATCTCTCTATGTACTTGTGGCAGTTAACAAGGAAGACATCATGGAGTTTTGAGATCCAAGTTCCTGTTATTCCTTTTGACAACACAGAGTAGACCTTTTAAGACATTCCAAATTCTGTAGAGGACCGCAAAGTACTTTTAGGATTGTTCTCCCTTCCAGCAGGCCACAAATTATATAGACATCCAAAATACAGGAAATTTAGTCAAACACAGATTTTGTCTTGAATGTCATAATCCAAGTCCGATAATTCTGAGGTTGTCCAAAGAGTAATGCCCTTTTCTGACCTTTTCCACATCTTCTCTTTATTTCACAATAATTAGCAGTTTTATTAAAATTCCCCTGTCCATTGGGCTGTCCCTGCTTACAGTGTATTTTGGTAAATGTGGATTCTTCAGTAAATGGACTTACGGTGGGCATGTGTGCCCTTTTTCCATGGTGAACTGCATTATTTCATTTGCTTAGATATGAGGTGAGCAAGTTGTGCTGTGTATGAGGGTCCTTCTCATTCTGTTGAGAAATGCCATGGACTTCTGCTCCCTCCACCAACAGAATCCAGAACTTCTGTGTCACTCTCCTACCGGATGTACTACATCCATGCTGAATTTTCCAGTTCCCTTTTGCTCTCAGAGATCTCTTAATGAAACTGGGACATTTTAAGAGTAATGAAAGTTCATCTGTAGATTCATGAACATTGTTTAACGTTTATGTGCTGGAGATGCAACTGTAATGTGGAATTGCCACACATGCAGTTGTGCATTGCTGATTTCAACAGGCAGGTCTTCATGGAGTATTTGACTACCTGGAAGGCGTTAAGAGAGGAGAACTGAAGTCCTAAATATGCTTCTTTTGGGATACAATAAATTTAAAATCAAATTTTGTATACTGTCCTGAGATGTTTGTAGTGGATGGGTCAGAAAACCTTCCAATAAATAAAGCACATGGACAAATCAACATGTTTAAAGCTTACTAATCCTACCTGAGAAAGCCCCCACCGTAAATCAAATTTAGGAATGGGTGAGAATTCCATTCGGTTCACATATTTATGCAAATTTACCTAATATGCATTTCCTGGACTTATGCAGGAATTTGATTGCCATTTGCAGCTTTCACATTTCTGATTGTTGTAATCTGGTTTGTCAATGAAAAATGCATAAATAATGTACCAGGAAAAGTGCATGCAAAATGTGCATACTAGGGACAATTGCATACAAAGCACCATATACTATAAGGGAGTGTACAATTTAAAGCATATACACTGGGAGAAATGCATGCAACCATGTGCTGCATTTGTCTTCTTTATTCCCTTTTTTCCTCTTTCATTTGTTCATATATATAAGTGGCCACCTATACACGTGGTTTTGCTGTAGGTTTCCTGAGATCCTAACTCTTCCCTTTATATGCTCATGGAAATGTTATCGTTTCTTGCCAAATTCTGAATCAACACAGAATGTAGAATCTATTAAAAAGTATTCATGTAATATATGCAATAAGGCCAAAAACATAAAAATGTGGCTTCTACAGAACATGAATATTGATGCAATAGCCAAGAATTCAGAGTAACCATTTCCCTTTCTGTTTTTAATATTTAAATACATGTCTATCAAAGCATGTTTAAGTTTCATGACTCCTGCCACAATACAATGGGTGTGTTCTAATAACCAAGGAAGTCTTGGCCAGCCTTTTGAGTCTTTTGTTTTCTTCAGAATATTTATTCCCTAATAGTTACTTATGTTTCCAGGAAGAATAATTACTTTCCTTTTGTTGTTGTTAATGATTCCATTTTTTAAAAAGTGGAGGGTGTGGATCTGATTAGAATTTCAGAATAGTATAACGGAAAAGTTACTTAAGGACTGGGTTGTGATGAAAAACAAAGTTATTTGCAGAGCATCTCTTTCTGTCTACCTTTCACTCCAGAGGCCTGTTCCACAGCTTTCAGTAACTAATTTTTGAAATAATACTATTATGAAAACATAAGATGGGACTCACCAGAAGTATCCTTAGACATTCCCCAGTGATTCTGAGTAAAACTATAGCACAGTGACTCTTCATGCTCAAAAATTACTAATAATCCTCCTCATTTTCCATATTATAAAATGCTTTCACTTCCTCACGCTGTTAGAAGGACAGATATCATGGTATCAGAGATCTCTCAAAAATGCATTTTCTAGCCCAGTTTTATCTGCTTAAGAACTCCAGGGGTTGTAAAATGCTGTGCAGATTAAGGGACCTTTTGGATTATTTCCCCCATACAATAACTGCACAGTTGTTGCTCAGAAACCAGAACTCTTTAGAAGAGCACTCCTATTGCAAGGGAAAAAAGCAATGTTCCAGGTGTCTGAAAGTCTATACTGGTCTCTGTATTTTTTCAGACTGGGCAAACATCTAATGTGGCATTAGGACCAGTGAAAGCCATTTGGAATGATGGGCAGCAAATAGTTGCCACTGCAGAATGGAGAGGGGATCCTTCCCTTTACTGTAGGGCATCTCTTCCAATAATAATAATAATAATAATAATAATAATAGTAATAGTAATAATAATAATAATAATAATAATAAAATTAGAACCACCATGACTCTCCCATAGCTAACTTTTCTCTGCAGCAAGGTCTCCTACAGCAGAGTTTCAATACATTGCTGGTATGAGATCTGATAGGGACTGTTATTAATGTTATACTATGGTGTGAAGACAACCAAATTGTTCTCTGTTTCTGTATTTAGTTTCCCCCTTAGATCTCATGGGATTAACTCTTTTCCATGTGCTGTTCAGTTTCAAAAAGCTGAAAAACTGAGGGATTATTGGAGTCAGGAGGCTTTTCAGGAAGCCAAAGGGTTGTAGAAGGTTTAAGTCAAGAGCTTGGTCAGGTTATAAGGACCTGGCTGTCTGCTATAGAACGGGCAAAAATGCTTTGCAGGAGGTTCCACAGAAAGGGATAAAAGTGAACAGAAAACTGTTGTACTGATTGGTTCAATCTGGGGAAGGAAATACCTAAATCAAAAATAAAAATTCTAAGGAAGAATCTGAGGGGGGAGGAGGAGGAGGAGGAGGAGAAGCAGCGGTAGCAGAGACAAATGGAGGAAGGAAGGAATTCCAGAAAGTTAATGCTGCAAGAACTAAAGGACTGGTTGAGAGAGAGCTGTACATATGACAGAATGAAATTGCTTGGATAAGGCGCTTGGGTAAAGTCAGGACAGATTCTAGTTGTGTAAGGTTAGCTGGATGTATTTATGCATGGTTACTTCATTACCTCCCTCCCCCGTGCCCCCCTCTCTATTTTTCAGTTGTTTGTATGTATTCAATCCAATTTTAAAACTTTTTCTTATTAGCCATTTCCTGCAGAATTGCTTGAATTCATTATTGCATTGTTTGAAACTTTGCTGTCTCT